AACTGGAGTTATAGATGGTTGTAAGCCACCATATGGATGCTGGGAACTAAACCTGCAAGAGAAACTAGTGCTCTTACACTGAGCCATTTCTCCAGCTCCAAACTAAGCATTTTTAGTAATTTAGTATGCACACTTTCAAGCAGACTAGATGTATGAATTTTAACTACTTCTATTCTTGTTTTCTCAATAATGGGTTTATATAAATTTTATAGAATTTGGTTTGTTTTATTTCTGAGGAAGCTTCATGTACCCAGGCTGTCCTCAAACTTTTCTGATTGTGCTGTGTGTTTGAATTTTAGACATGAGAACCATGTAGACTTCATATTTGATTTAAAAAAATGCGAGACTAAGTCATATTAAAAAAGTTTTTAAATTTACTACATTCAATAACCTGGGACAAAACTAAAAACATAATGAATCACACTGCACCAAAATAAGAACATATACAATATCAGAAACTTTAAAATGAACTCCACCATGTGAAGAAAATGTGAAAGTAGAAGGGTAGTCAAAATTCTTTTGCAAAATAACATAGGCAGGTTTTTGTATTGATCATTTTGTGTGATTTTTCAAGATAAGGCTTTACTGTGTAGCCTTAGCTGTCCTGGAACTCCCTCTGTAGACCAAGCTGGAGTCTAACTCACAGAGATCCACCTGTATCTGCCTCCCAGGTGCTAGGATAAAAGCTTTGCTTCACCACCATCTGGCTATGCATTAATCAGTTTCTTTCTTTTTTTTTAATTTAGTTTTATTTTTAATGTGCATTGGTGTTTTTGCAATGGGTGTCATGTGCCCTAGAACTGTAGTACAGACAGTCATAGGGTGGGGCAGGCAGTGGTGGCACCCAACTTTAATCCCAGCACTTGGGAGACAGAGGCAGGTGGATCTCTGCAAGTTACAGGACAGCCTGGTAAGCCACAGAGAAACTCTGTCTCAAAAACAAAACAAAACAAAACAAAAAGACAGCTGTGAGCTGCCATGTGGGTATTGGGCATTGAACCCAGGTCCTCTGCAAAAGCAGTCAATACTCTTAACCACTGAGCCATCTGTACTGATCAATTTCTAGTCACATTTTCACCTCCTGCCACATAGTTTCTTTTTATTTTCTTTAGGAAGGGATAGACAAGGTCTCACTGTGTAACCCAGGTTGGCCTCTAACTTTGAGACCCACTATTTGAGCTTAAAATAAAAATTTTAGGTATGTGCTACAAAATTCCTAGCTCTACACTATATTTACATTAACAAAATCCAGGTATGGGGATTACACCTATTAATCTCAGAACTTGGAAAGTGGAGATAGGATGATCAGTAATTCTAGGTTACTTGGAATTTGAAGTTACCTGGGCTACATAAGATCTTGTATTAAAACAAAAACAGATGGATGAAAAAGTAGTGGCCCATGTCTTTAACCCAGCACCTGGGAGGCAGAGGCAAGAGTATCTCTGTGAGTTCAAAGCCAGTCTAGTCTACAGAGTAAGTTCCAGGACAGCCAGGATATACAGAGAAACCCTGTCTCAAAAAAACAAAGCAAGGGAGGCTAAAGAGATGGCTCAGTGCTTAAGAGCACTGGCTGCTTTTCCAGAGGACCCAGGTTCAATTCCCAGCACCCACATGACAGCTCACAGCTGTCTGTAACTCCTGTTCCAGGGGATCTGACATCCTCATGCAGGCAAAACACCAATGCACATAAATTTTTAAAAAAGAAAGAAAAGCCAATAGACAGCTCTGCAAATCTGAGATGATTTTCTTCATAATCTAGGAGATACAGCAGTAGTTCCTTTCATAGAAAAGGCTATTTTTTTTTTTTTTTAAACTAACTTTTGGGGGTTGGGGGTGGGAATAGGCCTGGCTACCTGCCCAGGTTGGCCTTGTTAAGAAGACCTCAAGTTACGTCTACCTGTGCACCCATGATGCTGGATAACAACCCTGCCCCAACATGGCCCGCTAGAAATTCTTAACTTAAATATCCAAAACAGATTTTTATTTTCTTTTTTATCTTCAACAAGGTAGGAGGTATGTGGGCTTTCAGGACAGAAATATTAAAAAAAGGACAGAGAACTGGGGAAATGGTTCAATGGTCAAAGCAATTACAACACAAGCAACAAGGCCCAGAGAGTTCAGATCTTAGAACATACAGAAAATAAATCAGGTCACGGGGGCTACAAAGATAATTCAGTGGATAAAGGCACTCTTCCAGTAGACCAAGATTCCATTCCCACCACTCACATGGTAGCTCACAACCATCTGTAACTGCAATTCCAGGGGATCAGACACCCTCTACTAAGCCCAAATACGCATGTAGTACAGATATGCAGACAAAATACACATACACATAGTTTTTAAAAACCTCCAGTCCAAGTGTGAATGGCGGCTCCATATTATAATACTAGTGCTTAGAAAATAAAGATGGGGAAGCCCTGGACAAGCTGACCAGCTACACATGTAGACCAACTGGTAAGCTTCTAGTTTATTGAGAGACCTTGCCTCAGTAAATAAAATGGAGAGAAACTGAGAAAAGCACCTGGTATCAGTCACTGGCCTCCACAAGCACATCCAGACACACACATAAATAAACACCCCTCCCCCCAAAAAGAAGCAGAAAAGTAAAATAAATGGGGAGGAGATATGTAAATGTGCCTTTGTGTACAAGTGCTCTTGCACACTGAACCATCTCAGCCTACCTTCTGTCTTTTAAACAATATTTCTCACATAGATATCTGGGGCACAGAATAAGCACATGTTCTAATTTATTATTTCAAGAAATTAAACAGATGCAAAATTATGCTTCCTAGTTTTCACAATCTCCGAATCATTAAACTACTTAACCCAGAAAGATCATAATTCACAAGGCTCTGTAGAGATTTAATCAGATATGGTAGTTTGTGCCTATAATCTCAGCCCTGGAAGGATGAGGCAAGAGATCACCTCAAGTTTAAGGCCTAGATTATACAATGGGCTAAAAAAAGGCAAGGATACAGAAAGAGTCCATCTCAAAAAAAGAAAATGATATACTGAGATGCCTGTAAACTTACCACTTCCAATGCTAAGACTTGTTGCCTAGGCTACAAAGTGAAACCTGGTCTCAAAAAGCTAAAGCCTAACAAATAAGTAAAATTAATTCACAATTAATTTTGAGATTTGCATACTCATACTAAAATAGCACCTTCTCTTTTATTAACAGGAAGCAGTCTTGAGGTGCCCCTGAAGTAGAAAGTAGAACTTCTGTAGAAGAAAAACTCCTTCCCACTACAAAAATTATTTCTATAGTTGTCTTTTATTAGAGGAGCCTACAAGTACAGTCACAAAGACAGATTCTAAGCGAGCTGGGTATAGCTCAACTGGAAGATCATTTGCCTAGGTCTATCCTCAGCATCCCACAGAAGTGGGCATGGTGGTGCAAGCCTATAACTCCAGCATTTAAGGGGCAAAGGGAAAAGGATTGCTGCATTTGAGTCAGTCATTTATGTGAGATCCTATCCCCAAAAATAAGTAAATAAATGTACATAGGGAAAACATTCAACAAAACAAATGCACATAGTTTACAAAACAAAATACAGATTGAGTAAATAATATGACTCAGATTTGGGGAAAAAAGTAAGACTAGGCAATAAAAGAGTGAACTGAGTTTTTATTTTCTTCTTCATACTTTTTCTAAATTTCTCCACGATGAACATTACTTTTGAATTCTGAAAGTCTCAAAAAAAAAAAAAAGGAGCAAGGCAATGATGGTGCAGGCCTTTAATATCAGTACTTGAGAGGCAGAGTCGGGGAACTCAAGAGTTCGAGGCCAGCCTGATCTATTTTTTAGAGGTAACAGTAATCTACAGTGAGTTCAAGAACTGCCAGGACTACACAGAGAAAATGTCTCGGGAAACAAATTAATAAATGAACCAGGAGCAGAAAGATTACTCAGTAAATAAAAGTGCAGACCACCAAGCCTAAAGACCTGAATTTGATCCTCTGTGCTCCTTGACCATCAGCACACGCCCCACCCCTAATACATACATACACACACTCTTATAACCTATAAGGGTTCGTTTATTAGGACCCAATATATTGTCCATTTATAAGAGGTTGAAATGCTAATGTTTAATGTCCTGTTATTTTTCTGTTACACTCTCAATGATAGAATTTCAATTTCTCCTTAAAGTTCCATTTCTTCACAAATACACATTTATAAACTTTTTTTTTTCAAAACAAGACTTCTCACTAACATTCATTCTTAAATGACTTCTAAAGTCCCGTATAACAAAACTGCGCGCTGGACGAAGAAGGGGGGTGACCACAAACCACAATTTCGTCGGTCCACCTTCGCTTTGGCTAAAGAAAAGTGAAGGCCGGGTAAACTACACGTCCCACCATGCATTGCTGCCTTATTCAGAGTAGGTCTCTACGGAAACAGAAAAAAAAATTCTCCAAGTCCCACCTGTTACTTCGTTTCTAAACACCTCCTGCACTTTCAGCTCGGACCGCAAACACAAAAGCCTCGTGACCTCCGGTTGGCTCCCAGAGCCAGATAAGCAGGGGGGGCACGGGTCTGGTGGCACGACTGCCTCGGCTAGGGAACGCCACCGAGCTCCAGCGCTCCCCTCTCCTTTCCGGGGCTGGATGTACGCACAAGCCTCCTCCTGTCTGCATCCAATCGGGGCTCTCCAAGGCGCACAAGGGAGAAGAACCGGTTACTGGGCAAGCACAACACACGGTGCCGAAACAAGAGCCAGCAGTGTGGGGGCGACAGCGACGTGACCCCCAACAGGCAACCTCGGAGCACCGAGGGGTCCAGGCTCAGCCCCCGGGAGAAGCGGCAGCCGCGCGATCAACCCCTCGCGCCGGCGCCTCGGTCTCCTTACGGCTCGACAACGCGACCCTAACCGCCGCCCTCTGCGCGCGCTTTCGTGCCCCTTGAGCCCGGTCGCGGGGCCAAGCGATCTCCCTTCTGCGACTAGCAGCCGGCGAGAAAAACGAACTCCGGCCGGTTCCCCTCTGCTCTCCCCTCTTACCGTTTTGGCGGCCTCCGCCCAGGTCCTGCCCTTCTTCCTACGGCCCTTTTCCCTCATGTCGGGTCTTGAACTGACTGGGAGGCTTCCGTGCCCCGGCTCCGGCTGCCTTCCCTTGCCTGCTGCGCCCTGCACTGCTTTTCCCGCGGTGCCGGGAAAGGTGGGAGAAAGGGGAAGTCGGAGCGGAGAAGCAACTCAGCGAAGAAGCGGCCGCGGAGGCGCGCAGTGAGGGGGGGGGGTCTACGGGGCGGCCGGTCCTGCTGCTGTTGCCACTGCTAACGCCGCTGCCATATTGGGTTCTTACTGTACAGGCAGCCGCTGTGATCATGTGATCGCTCCCGCGCGGCCGTCACTACTGTACGCAGCCGGCCGCGCGAACGAGCGCGCACTGGGCGCGCGCCCCCACGGCCTCAGCGCGAGAGCCGGCTGTCTGGAGCGCTTCGCCACGCCCCTGGGCTTCCGGTCTCCGGCCCGGCTCGGGCGCATGCGCGTGACGCAGGGCCGCCTAGAGTCAGTGGGGCGGATGCCTGGCGGCCACACCCACCGCAAAGATCTGCGGCGGAAACGGCATCTGCTCCTTCCGGGAAAGGCTGATTGATCGGTTGTGGACTGCATGAGTGCGAGGGGCGACTCTGGAGACTTTAAAGAGCCCGACGCTCGCCCAAGGAAGCTTGCCAAGTACCATTCCAATAAACTTCATGTTTTATTTTATTGTGGTACAGGCTCATGTACGGAAGGCCGACCTTAAACTCCGGATCCTCTGTTTCCCCATGACTGGTAGTTAAGTGCCATTTAAGTTCATTTTTGCAAAGCTTATCTTTTTAAAGATGTACAGCAAGCAGTTCTCATCTATTAATCTCATTTTAATAGATGAGATAGGTTAGATTTGTTTACCACACTCACGTATAGAATGTGAAGAACCCAAAACCAGGTTGTTCGCTCACAAGCCTTGCCTCTCAAACTTAGTGACTTTTCCAGGCCACTAGAAACCGCATTTACGTTTTCCATGTGATTAGTCTCAGCAAAGAAATGTCTTTTACCTCAGGGAACTCAGCCTGTGGCACGGTACCTGTATGTATCAAGCATCCGTTAAATATTTGTTGAATGATTCAGCTATGACTGGTCAAGAAGTATTCATCATTCATAATGTCAGTAACACCCTCCTGAAAAATGCAGAACATGGCATTTTACTTCAGGGTTTCTGTTGTTGGCTGGTTGGTTGGTTGATTAATTTTGTTTTTTGTTTTGTTTGCTCCCTCCCAAGTGCTGGGATTAAAGGTGTGTGCCAGCATTGGCTGAGAGTATTTGTTGTTACAACATAGAATGAATGTATAGGGGCTAGAAATACACCTCAATGCAAAAATCCCTGCCTCCCATGGATACTGGGTATTGAACATGAGGCCTAGCACGAAGTTTGTACTACTCAACTATACTTCATTTTGTTGTTTTTACTTTGAAACAGAGTCTCCCAAAATTATCCAGATTGTTCTTCAATTCATTCTGTAGCTTAGGCAGGTTTTGAACTTGCCATCCTCATGGCTCAGCCTATAGAGAACCTGGGGTTATAGGCTTTTATCATGAAAGCATACCTCTAGAGGTAAACCTATTGTCTAGCATTAAGAGATCCCCACATGGGTTTCAGCAGTTCACAGGACATCTTTTTCTTATTGGCAGTATTTTCTGTGTCAAAAGCTGTCCTGGTATAACCCTACCATCCTACCACTGAGAAGATTGAAACCTTAGGGTACCCATAAGATCTGCTGTGGAGCAAGTTACAGACTGAATTCCAGGACAGCTAGGGCTGTTGGACTGTTACACAGAGAAACCCTTTCTCAAGAAACAAAAAAATCAACAATAAAATGTGTGTGTGTGTGTGTGTGTGTGTGTGTGGTAAATGTGGATTCCTCTTTTTGAAACAGGGTCTCTCTTTGTAGCCCAAGCTGTGGTGGAACTTTGTATGTAGACTTAAGACTGACCGGGAACTCACAGAGACCACCTGTGGATTTTTTGAGAAAAAGATCGATAACCTTTCCTTGATTTTAAATTTATTTTTATTTACTTATGCTAGGGACCGAATCCAGGACTTCAACATGTAGCCAAGTACTCAACCAGTGAGCTTACATCCTTATCTCTCAGTTCAAATGGACTATATTAACCAGAAAGAAAAAACAAAAATTAACAAAAAACATGTCAGTTTGAGAGACCATCAGCTGCTGATCACAGGATTCTGGCAATTGATGTTGGTATATATATTTTTCAGCAATTCCTTTAATAACTCATGGGGCTATATACATAAGATTTATGATACATGCTGCCTCAGTACAAAGCCTGTGTCTTTAGTCAATTCAAGCCGAAACAAGAAGATTGCTAAGAGCTTGATGCCCTAAACATAGTCTTGACCAATGTGCCATCCCTAACATGATTGCCTAAAGGCAGGTCATGACTAAGAGCAGACTATAAATTGGTCCTGCTCAGAGTCCATGTCTCCAATCTTATGTAGAGCAATAGCAATGGGATTGTGTGACAGACATTTCCTGGGAAAACAGAGACACAACACACTCATCTACTCACCCTGGAAAGAAAGCCCACAACAGACTTTGATGGCCAATGAGTCTTGTATTGGGATCACTAACAAGAGCGTGGGTTACTTACAAGGAGTAGTGATGACTGACAAAATCAGCTGTATCAACAGAAAGCCCAGCCCACCATGGATGCCAGCTCAAGATCTCTCTTTAGGTGGTTTTTCCCAATCAGAATTGTGTTTATTTTTGAGACAGGGTTTCTCTATGTAACCCTGGCTGTTCTGGAACTTGTTCATTTAAGTTATAAGAGCTAGTTGATAAAAGGCTTAAGCTAAAGTCAAGCTTTCATAATTGGTACGTCTCTGTGTTATTTGTGAGCCTAAAGAAAAATTGGTCTACAATTTGTGGACCCTGCTGGCCTCAAATTCACAGTGATCCTCCTATCTCTGCCTCCCAAGTGAGGAATTAAAAATGTTCTCCACACAGAATCTAACCCCAGCAACTGTTTACTGCCATTTATAACATCTTGAGGGACCCTCATGTATCTTCCAAGTTTTTTGTTCTCTGGACATGTAACCTTCTGTTACTATCTGGGGTTCCTGAGCCTCCTTCTCCTTCAGGGAGCAAATGTTTCAATTTGGAGGGAATAGTGCAATTAAAAAGAATAAGCCCTTCAGCAAGTAGCTACATAGGCGAAACTAGATGGTCTGGGCCAGAATTTCCATCTGAGTTGTATTACACATGTGGGAACTTGAACATACACATCAATGAGTGTGAGCTATTCTACCTTAGCTCTTGTCTTCAAAAAAAGGCAGAATCCCCATTTTTTTCCACTTCTGTGGAAATTACCACTTCTCTACTAAATACAACAGATTTAGCTAAGTACAATAAGATTTAGCTTTGCTCTATGGCCATCAGGAGCATAGAGCAAAGGAGAAGACAGATAATGTATTGAATTACAACCTTGACATTCTCCAGAGCCACAAATGAGAAGCTGAGGCAGGAGGATTATGAGTTCTAGATAGCCTGGGATACATAACAAGTTCTAGAGTAATTTTCAACTATGAATTAAATACTGGAAACTGGAAGGGAACAGGTACATGTTTGTGTATTGTTATTATATTTGCATTGTTTTTATCTATATATTTTATTTATTCTACGTGTGTATGTGCATGCATGCAATGGCACACATGTGGAGGTCAGATGACATCTTTTAGGAGTTAATTTTGTCCTTTCATCCTGTGGGTCCCAGAGATCAAATTCAGGTTATCAGTCTTAGCAACAAGTGTATTTTGTTTTTTGTTTTTGTGGTGACGGTTGTTTTTGGCTTTTGAGACATGGTCTCACTACCACAGATGCATTTTTTTGTTGATTGACTATAAGGATGACCTAGACACAAGAGCATGGAGAGAAAATTAGCACTATGACTTCAGCTGGACTGAACTACAAGTGGCTAGATGCTGTGGGCCTGGAGGATACAGGAAGGAAGGCAGAGAACTGGAGGCCAGCCAGAAGTATCTGGGAACAGCCCAGCTGTGTGACTCTTTAGTTAGCATAGGCTTTGTCCAGCCAGATGTCCTCAGAATCTCCTTGTTTCTTTCCCCCCTGATGAATTTCACTACTCATTCTGAAGTTGTCTTAAATGTTCTTCATAATCACACATATTCATCAGAGGCCAAATACATTTTTCATACTTCTTTATTTTGTGGTATTGGGGATTGATTGGAGGGCCTTGCCCCTACTAGGTAAGTGCTCTATACTGAAATATATCTCTGCCCCTCAAATCATATTTATTTTTATTTTTCCTTGGTGTGTGTTTGGGGGGGGGGTGAGACAGGATTTTTCTGTGTAGATTTTGAGCCTGTTCTGGAACTAGCTCTGTAGACCAGACTGGCCTCAAACTCACAGAGATCTGCTTGCCTCTGCCTCCTGAGTGCTGGTATTAAAGAAGTGTGCCACCAGCACCTGGCTCAATGTTATCTCTTAAAAGATGGACTGACAAGACTGGGGATTTAGCTCACTGGTAGTGCACTTGCCTAACAAGCACAAAGCCCTGGGTTTGGTCCTCAGCTCAGAAAAAAATAACAAAAAAGACCCCCCCCAAAAAAAACCAAAAAACAAAACAAAAAACACCAAAGTAACTAAAAAGATAGACAGATGGACTGACTTATTCATTGAATATTCATTTTTTATGTCAGACATGATGGTTCATGCTTACAGTCCTAATACTCAGGGAGACAGAGGCAGGAGGATTGCTATGAGTTCCGTGCCAACCTGTCCTACTCAGTGAGTTTCTGAACAGTGTGGACTATATAACTAGACCTGTCTGCAAACAAATAAAACCACAAAAATGTATTTTTAATAAGACATGGTGATGCATGCCTCAAGTCCTAGTGACTCAGGAGAATGGCTTGAGTCCAGAATTGCAAGGCCCTGTTTCAAGGAATAAAACAAAACCAAACACGGTGGCACACAACTTGAATGTTCAACATTAATAAGGTTTCAGGAGAATTAAAAGTTCAAAAAATCAGAAAGAGGAGAGAGGGAAGGAACAAAAAAAAAAAAAAAAAAAAAAAAAAAAAAAAGAAGGGAATGGATTAGAGAGCTAACTAAGTAGTTAAGAGTACTTGCTGTTCTTCCAGAGGACCTGAGTTCAATTCCCAATACCCAGATCAGGTGGTTCACAACTGCACAATTTTAACTCTAGCTCCAGATGATACAATTCCCTCTTCTGGTCTTTAGGGGTACCTGCATTTATGTGTGTATAACTACACAGAGACATATGATTATATCTATAGTG